TTTAATTTTTTTTTTTTTAAATACTATTATAGAGATGAATAGTTCCCAGGTCTTAACATGCCTACTGAGGCTGGAAGGAATTACCCGCCGAGCAGCGCCAGGCTGCTTGGGATCCTCTGTCAGGAAAAGGGGCTTTCTCACATTTTTTCCCTCCTCCCGCCCTGCTTTTTCCTCCTACATCGTAGCCACGCTGCATGGGGTAACTATGGGAAAGAGAGTTGAGAGAAGGGCTACACTAATTCATTTCTACATATTTTTTGAGGGTTTTAGGCCATTTTTGTTAGCAAGAGTGAGATTTTAGGTTCCCTTTATCTCTTCATCCTTCCCGTGGGTTAGGGTGACACATCCAATGTCCCCATACTCTCCATCACCCAAGTCATGCAGGCAGAGAAAAGCACCATGAACCAGGGCAGCCAAGTTTTCATCCCTGCTGGGGTGAATTTCAATGTGGTTTTCTTAGCAGCACCTCATTTTTTTCCAATGTCTGCGCTCAATAGATTGTTTTTTATGGATATTAATCTATCATTCTGTGGGTAAAAACAAGGGGACTTGGGGCGTTTGGTTGTGCGGGTGCTGCTGGCTGGAGCACCTCTCTTCTCCTGCTGGTGCTGGAGCCAGTGTTGGTTTGGGTGAGGGTGACTGTGTTGTTGGGGCTGCTGGTGCATCTGGAGCCACTYCTAAAGATGGACCTGGTGATTTAGGACCCGAAATCCAGCTAMAACTYGGCACTGAAACAACAYAGGRGTGCCCCAAACCTGGCARTGTTCTTTTGGAAACAGTGGGTGCACTGTGGACATTGATGTAAACGTGGAGAGGATCATGCAGATATGGGCAGGCAAGGTCCTGCCGATTCTGCCTCGCTTTTGTTTCGTATTCATTCCCTCAATGCTAATCGCCTTTTTTTCCTGTTTTGCAGATTCTCAAGTTCTTCAGGAGCCAGGGGATAGATCACACTGGTGTGTGGTGGCATACTGGGAAGAGAAGACACGCGTGGGTCGGCTGTACTCTGTCCAAGAGCCCTCCCTGGATATCTTCTATGATCTACCTCAGGGGAATGGTTTCTGCCTCGGACAGCTCAACTCAGACAACAAAAGCCAACTGGTGCAGAAGGTGCGCAGCAAGATCGGCTACGGCATCCAGCTCACCAAGGAAGTGGACGGCGTGTGGGTGTACAACCGCAGCAGTTACCCCATCTTCATCAAGTCGGCCACACTGGACAACCCCGACTCCAGGACGTTGCTGGTTCACAAAGTGTTCCCAGGGTTTTCCATCAAGGCTTTTGACTACGAGAAGGCATACACCTTGCAGCGGCCCAAYGACCACGAGTTCACGCAGCAGCCATGGACCGGATTTACCGTGCAGATCAGCTTTGTGAAAGGCTGGGGCCAGTGCTACACCAGACAGTTCATCAGCAGTTGCCCCTGCTGGTTGGAGGTTATTTTCAACAACCGATGACTCGAGACAGAGTTGGACTCATGACATCTATACTACTTTGCTGCTATTACTTCCTTCTGAGTGCTTGCTTTTCATGCAGACTTTTCGTTTTTTTTTGTTTTGTTTCGTTTGTTCGCCCTTCTTCGTTTTTGAGAAATAGCTTATGAAAGAGTTTTTTTGTTGTTGTTGTTGGTTTTTTTTTTGTTGTTGTTGTTTTTGCCTTTGGGGTATTTTGATAAATATATCTATTTTTTAAAAGTGTGAATGACCAATAACTCTCATAAGGGCGAGAGAAGGGTGCAGTGGGGATAGAACACACACGATAATTTCTTCATGCCTCTCGAAAGGATTATCCAATGGGGATCGATGGATTTGAAAGCCACTTGCTCTATGTTACAGCTCCTTCTCTTGGACAACACAACGAGGTGACTGTATTTTTGTACGCACCACCTTCTCAGTGACGGTGACACCGAGACCGCCTCCCCAGAAGTGCTAACCCCGCGTTGTCGCCGAAGGATGGTGCAAAACCTTCCCAGACAGGTCTCTTACCGACCTTCTTCGTTTCTCTTGTTGCTGGGTTCATGTCTTGTCACTGTGTTTATTGTTCCACTGCTTTTTCTATGTTGTTTATGGTTGTGGATTTGATGTAAGGGGAGAAAACAACAGCAGGGGAGCTTCGGGCATGGCCCGTGTTTGATTATTTGAGCTGAGATGTGAAGTGACAGAATTCTAAGCCTAAAAAAAAAATTAAAACAAAAGAAAAAACAAATGGGGAAAAACAAGAGAAAAAGTGTTCACAATAGTTGGTGTGTTGTAACCTGCTTAGATCAGGTTATCCAGGTACCATCTTATCTGGAAATGCAGTTGTGCTTTCATTTCTTCTTGAATTCATACACGAGTATGATACTTTTACACTGTTCTTAGCTCAATGAGCATGTTTAGACCTTAACATAAGCTATTTTTCTAAATATAAAGGTTTAATTGAACAAGAGAGCATTCTTCTTGGAACTTTAGAATTGTAGTGCTTTGGAAAAACACCCACAAAAAGAAAGGACTCCTTAAAAAACCATGAGATTTATTAAAGAAAAAAATGTATTTTATGTTATATATAAATATATTATTACTTGTAAATATAAAGACGTTTTATAAGCATCATTATTTATGTATTGTGCAATGTGTATAAACGAAAAAAGTAAGAAAGATGCACTTTGCTTTAATATAAATGCAGATAACAAATGCCAAATTAAAAGAAAAAAAAAAGAGAACACAAGGTTGGTGTTTTTTCTATGGGTGTTATCATCCAGCTGAATGTTTCTTTTTCTAAAGGAGTCTATGTTCCATTAAAAAATAAAAATGTACACTTGATCCCAAACCGTGCCAAGTGGCTTTATTTAGTGGTGTGGGTGGGGCAGACCAGAGAGATGCTGCACTGAGTGGGTGCTGCATGGGGTCAGTGGTGAGATCCTGTGTGGGACCTCTCCAGGGTGGGAAACACCCCAGTGGGATTGTCCTGAGCCTTGGGCTCTGTTGGCCTGGTTCAGCCTGGATGCGCTCTGTCAGCCCAAGGCTGGAGGAACTGGCTGCCCAAAATCCGCTGAGTTRTTCCCATTTCTCTTATCTTCAGCCTGGAAGAGCCCCAGTGCTGGGGACACAGCTCCCATTTGTCCCTGTTTCAGAAATACTGGGCCAAGCTTGTGCTCTGTGCTGGGACACAGGTGACCTGTGCCACCAGGTGAGGAGGAAGATTTGAGGAGGAAGCCAGTGCTTCGGATTTCCTTGACYATTTCCTGCCCCTTTCATCTCCCATGCCTTTCCATGCCTCTGGAAATAAAGGTGGTTGTTTCTTTTGCCCCCCTTACCCTGCCTTTAGGCATTCCCTGCTCCAYACCCTCCTGGTGCATGTGCTCTGCCAGGGATGAGTCCCTGTATCTTTTTCTGCCTTCAGTGGAGCAGGGAGGGGAGCCCATCAGAGTCCTGGAGGCTGGAGAACATGGCCAAGAAGGACATTGAAATGGGCTTGTGAGATCCCACTCCACCAAGTTGCTGGGACTCCCACCAGTCCCTGGTGCCTCCCCTGCTCCCAGGGGGTGGGAGGGCATATCAGCAGGTCAGGCTCTGTGAGCCTCAGCTCAGTGCTGTGCCTTCTGCTGAGCACAGGTGTGCCCTTCCCAGAGGCATTTACCCACACACGGCATCGGGGTGTCTCCAAATAGACCATGCCTTCAGCTGCATTTGTGGGACCCAGGCACCGCCTTCAAGATGGCTTTTGATCATGTGCTGGAAGTTTCCAGGCTCTCRCCTCATCCTTCAGGTGGGAATCAGCATGGAAAGCTGAGGCAGACTGGGTGTACCTGTCCTGTCTCACTTGATGTGCACTGAGAGACGCCTGGGAGGACAGGTGTTGAAAAAATGTCATCAGTGCTACAGCTGGGCTCATGTCCTTTCCATGTGAGCCCCCAAACTCTTAAATGCCCAATCATCACGGGATGCCTGTGTGGTCCAGTGGCCAAGCTAGCAGTGATGATGTGCAGCAGAAGCTCAAGGAGCACCATCAAAAGCACTGCAGGTGAATGATGAAGCTGACAACTTCCCAAAACCCACTGTGACTGCTCTGGAGGGTTTGTAGCACTGATCTGTGTGACCAAGTCTATGTGTGCAGCAGGGACCTGCACTTAGAAAGATCATGACAGATCTGGGTGTATGACCAGGTACAGGATCATGCTGGGGTTACAGTCTGGGAATCATAGCAGTCAGAAAAATCATGGARCAGTTTGGTTTGGAAAGGACSTTYAAGATCAAYGACATACAGCTCCMATCCATGGGCAGAGACAYCTTCCACTAYCCCAGGATGCTCCAAGCCCTGTCCAGCCTGGCCTTGGACACTTCCAGGGATCCTGGGGCAGCCATAGCTGGGTGGGTTTTACTTTTTACTTTTTTTGCTTTTTACTTTTTTTTTACTTTTTACTGTTTTTTACTTTTTACTTTGTTTACTTTTTACTTCTACCAAAAGATAGGAAAATTTGGGTTCACTTGTGCTTCTCCTGGCTTCAAGCTGCTGGGTCTTAATGTGGAAGAGATGACAGCTTTGACCCTGACATGTGGCATCAGTTGATCCACATGGACCCACCATGAGTTCTTAAACTGCATTGCAGAAATCTTTTCATGTTTTCACCRTGTTCCATGAGGTACATGCTGTGTCCCTGAAGCTGAACTGTATCAGAGATGGCTTCATCCTTGAATTAAAGTCTCATTCTTGTCCCCACTCATTGGTCCATGAGATATGACCAAATCATTAAACCTTCCTGTTTTTCAGGATTTCCACCTGTGAAGTACAGAGCTCACAAAACATTGCTCAYTCTGAGAGCTGAAAGCAAATGAAAGTACTGAATGCCCATAAACAAACTCTTCACAGCAACTTTCCAAAATACATTGGGTCCCAAAGATGCTACCACGGCTGCCTCTGCTCCGGAGCCAGGCTGGGAGAGCTGGGGGTGCTCACTTGGACAAGAGAAGGCTCCAGGGAGAGCTCAGAGCCCCTTTTGGGGCCTAAAGGGGCTCCAGGAGAGCTGCACAGGGACTGGGGACAAGGGCTGYAGGGACAGGACACAGGGAATGGCTTGGCAGTGCCAGAGGGTAGGGATGGATGGGATATTGGGAAGGAATTGCTGTCTGGGAGGGTGGGGAGGCCCTGGCACAGGGTGCCCAGAGCAGCTGTGGCTGCCCCTGGATCCCTGGCAGTGTCCAAGGCCAGGCTGGACATTGGGGCTGGGAGCAGCCTGGGACAGTGGGAGGTGTCCCTGCTCATGGCAAGGGTGCAATGGGAAGAGCTTTAAACTGTTCTGTTGTTCTGTGACAATAAAAAGAGGAAAAATGCTCCAGCAAAGCCCAGAATGTGGCTGTGGAGGTGTGCACACGATGGGAACAGTGCTGGTGGGCTCTTGCATCGTTTGCAGGGTGCAGGRTGGGTCTGGGATATCCTCCACAGCCCCCACTTCACACCTTGCCCTGTGTGACTCCCCCTGGCCATGGTCGTGGCACACTGAGCTGGCTGGACCTTCAGCTGGACGTGCCTTTCCAGGTCAAGTGTTAAATCATCTGGGGAATGACCTGAAAAGCCTGGCAGATCACTTCATTCTATGAGATCTTTGCTTGCATTCATCTGTCAAAATAAAAGGCCAGGCAATGCTGTTTGCAGTAAGAAAGCTGAGAAATAATCAGCAAAACCACGGCTTTTCAATACTATGACAGTTTTAGCTAAAATGTACCAGCCCTCACCTCCTGCTGAGCTAATTTTAGCCCTCATTCAATGCAACAACAACAAAAAAAAGGAACACGACAGAAGGATGCTAAGCACCAGTTCATATGTGTCCCCATTCACTCGTTCASCTCTGGGACTGAGGGATGTGGGGCGAGTGGGAGGTTAAAACAGAGACTGGAGGTTCTGCAGGGAAGAATTTCCCCTTGTCAAGAGCTTGCCAATGCTGTAATTCCATCTTTAGGACTCAGAAAAGCTGCTGCCACACAAAGCAAAATGCTGCCCTTGTATAAACCTAGTCTGAGCAGAGCCACAGATGAAGGAGCTGTGGAGAAGGCCAAAGCCAGCTCCTTTCCAAAGGAAAAYGCTGATGTCCAGCTGACAGGTCATTCCTGAACAGCAACATGATGTCCTTCTTGCTTCAAGCCCACAGTTCCTAAATTCAGGAACCCGCCAGCTCCGTGGACATCTTCCAGAAGGGCAGTGGAGGCCCTGGGACCTCACTTACCGTGCTCGGTACAGCTTATCTGTGGATCGYACTCTTCCCTCCTTGGAAATCACCTTAGGGAAATCTCATCTGCTTAAGGGGCTCAGACATGAGGTGGTTGAGACAGTCTGAAGTCCAGATTTCCCAGTGGATGGCAGGACATGTCTCCTTCCTCTCCTTCTCAGAAAAGAATTTCTCTGGAAATATGGGATGACTGAAATCCGTCTGTTCCGGTTAACTGTGCTTTTGTTTTGGACCATGGCTCCAGAACCGTAAGTGCTAAATCTGGTACACTGCAAYAGAGAAAATTACAGCACGGTGGAGCCTTTTTTCCCAGTGCTGCTGAGCAGTAATTGAAGAGTGCAATAAAGAAGGGTCAAACTRTGCCATTTTTGTCCTAAATAATACGTGAACTATTGTCAAAGTGTCAACCATTGATGTACTGCAAGGGAAGGTGGTAAAATTCCGCTTTCATTCAGATCATGGTTTTCCACATGTGAAAACCATTTGCAGGCAGTGCAGAGCTGTGATCTCACTCTCAGGTGATGCTCAGTACCTGGCTCACTCCCCACCCTCCCCGAGGCACCTGTGGGCTGTCTGCGAGACCATGAGGTGAGTGATCCTTCTGSTCATGCAGCCCTCAGGACCATGTGGTGGTTATGGAGAGGCTTCTCCAGACAGCCGGAATCATGAATCCTTGGGAAAGTTCATTCTTTGATTCTGGAAAAGCACCAGTCATGCTTTTACTGGTGTAAAGTTGTCCTGGGGGATTTTAGATCACCTTGCTCAGSTGAGATCTGTATCTATGTATCTTTRTCTATATCCATATCTATATCCATAYCTATATCCATACCTGTCTGTATGTATGCCTTGGTCTGAAGGGTCTTGTGGAGGCCAACTGGCAAAAAATTGGCTTCAGAGGAATCAATAAAACACACCCACACATGGAAACAGCATTTTCTTCATGTTGCCTACATGCATTTAAAAAATCAGCCTGATATTGAA